AAGAACCAAAAAGTAAGACTAGCTTAATGAATTCAATTGTGAACTGTTTTTGATAAAGTAATAAGGTATTTCAAGTACAATAAATGTCATTAAAAATTCAATGTGTCAGTAATGGATGATTCTATAACAGAAACTTGAAAACACATTTATATGTCAAATTTGAATTGATTTTTTAAATTGATTTTTCTTGTTTTGGTGCTCTGATTTTATGTTTTAATAGAAATTAGAATTCAATTACATAAAGTTCCCTGCAAATACATTGATTTAATTAGCTAATTTCCAATTTCATGAAATTAAAGTGATGCAGCTGAGAAGATGAAAGCAGAAACTCAAACTGGTCCTCCTTCTTGTTTCAATAATAAAATATGAGTCAAAGATAGAAGTTTGAACTTTTGATTTTAAATTATTTATTTTATTCTGTTCTTCTACAAAATAATCTTTTTATAAAAGCAATGCACAAATGATCACAAAATAGGAAACTCGAAGCAGAGATTTTACATAATCTTGTGTCTCATTTAATAGGTGTTAGAAAGTGTTCCTCCACTCATGGTAAAAGTAACTGGATAATGACCTTTTTTTCCATAAGAATATTATATTTTCTAATGCATCAAGGTGTTTGATTCTTACCTTTTTATTATTTGATATGACTACCCAATATAAAATGCTAATACTAACACATGGAGAAGCATAGAAAGCCTCGAGTTAAATTGCACTTCATTTTTTAGTTCTAATTAAAAGTTTATTTTGTGACAGAGGTTGGGTGTCAATTTTCCCATCTATAAAGTAAACCTGATACAATGGTTTCCGATCTAATACAGTTATTATCAAATTATATTTTAACACCTGTATGTAAATATTCTGGAAAACTAAAATAGGAAAGAAGAATTTTAAGTCCTTTAAATGATTCCGTATGTCCAATTTCAGTTTTCTAATTTTTTTAAACATATTTGACTTACAAATGAAGACTATTAATTATTTTTATTGTTTTTCCCAGCACTTGGGATTGAACTCAAGGCCTTGTGTTTCCTTCAACTTTTCTTTATCTTATTGATAAAAGAATTCATTGCTAATCCTCATACATACTCTTATCATTTTATATGTAGTTAATGTTTCATTTGTGAGAAATCCAAATTAAAAATAAGTATAATTTTCATAACAAAATAAATTGGTGGCAGGAAAAATTAATTAAGAAATTTGGCTTTGGTAATTATAATAGTCTAATCTTATGTGATCTGAGAAATACAAACTTTTACATATATTTGTCAGCTGAAATTTAAGAAATATATATAAAATATAATTTTCAAAGATAATTAAATGGAACACAAACCTAATTTATGTTCACTCCTACCTTTTGGAATGCCAAAAAATATATTTATTTTTACATAAAAATAACATTTAAAATCTTAATCTCAAGGTCAAAATCTATTTTTTCTCTATCAAAAACCAAGTTATTTAGCATCAACACTCCATCATAAGATGCTTTACAAATATACTTTTCTAAACATAGATATGAAGATCAATTTACTTATTTAATTAAAAATGTTACAGATAAATTATCACTTAAAAGCTAACCAGTCAAGTTAACCAATCATTTTTTTTAAAAGTGTATTTTTAAGAGAATGATGATTTCTAAATAGGACATGCTCTCCTGTCATAGGGCGCTCAAGGAGAAAGATACATTTATAAATTACTTTTAAGTTTAACTTTAGATGATCTATTTTTTCAGCAAAATGTATTTTCTTGATAATTTCCCAATATAATAGTTGTAATACTAACAATAATGACAATGAATATGTGTGTGATTTTTACCTTGTTTTAGGCAATAACCAAACTCCCAACAGTCTTCTCAACCACCCTTTGACTCAGTTTGTATCTGTCATCAGAGGCATCTCAGTCTTGGAGAAATTAGATGGCCCATCCGACAACAATAAGGGATGTCTGAATTTTGATGTAGTACATTGCAGTACCAGGGATCTTTACACTTAAAAATATGTGACTATCGGGTGTATTATCCTTGATCTTTAAGATTTATTGCCATAAACTGCATGTGAGAGGAATGCAAATGAAGTATGAGAGTGACTAGTTGAAATCAACTGGGTCATCTAGCCAATAAATCCACAGGGCGAAAGCTCAATCTGATAAGTGTTTTTCTCCTTCTCATTTCAGAGATTTGGTTATTAAATCATGCACAGCATATCCAAAAACACTACACATGAATTAGAAGAAAATAGTTTCAGATGTAATCAAAATTTTTCATAGCTAAGTTGTATCCATTATACAGTAATAGATTCCACAGTGAATCATTCATGTTTGCAAATGGATAATAATATATATAATGATCTTGTTAATTGTGACAGAACCATTTCTTTGCTTTACCCATTATTTTTATCACTTGTGACTAGTTGTTTTTTTAAATCTTGCACAGAGCTATACTTTTGCTAAACACCATTAGGAAACTCATTCTCTAATTTTACTGGAATTTTAAAAAGATATTAGCTTCCTAGGGCTGAAATATACCACAGAGTTGTTCTTCAGAGTCTGTTCATGTAATAAGAGAACTTTACTAAGGAAAGAGTAATTTTCCTAAACTTCACCAACTGGGTAGCATGTTAAAATTTCATTGAAAGAGGAGATTCAGGATGTAGCACAAAAATAGTACTTTCCTCCAGTACTAGTAAGGGTTTATTACTTGTTTCTCTTTATTAGAAATCAATGATTATAATACAAATTACACTTTACTGATGCATGTAAATTCTAAGTTGGCTGAGTCAATGCTTAAAGAGTTCTCCTTTGCCATCTCACAAAGACGCTCTAACAGAGCATTGTGTTAGACCTCATGTGAACCACAAAGTGGTCTGGATAATGTGCCAGGCCACCATATTACAGCACTATGATTTTCCCTAAACTAGCAGCAAGATTCTACCTAGAGTGTTAAAAAATCTTAGCAATTTTTGCCTAGCTCCTGAAAAGAGTAATATAAATGTAGTCATGAAACACAGTTGATCTTCAGAAAGATAAATTAAGATTCAGACAAGTGTGCCATATTCATGGTCAATCTGCAGAAGGTAGAATTAAGATAATAACATTTATTCATTTTCCTTGTGCCAATATTTCTTCAAGTCATATTAAAATCTGCATTTAAATATTTGTATTATAAAAGCCTTGTTTTACATATAATATTTTATTTTGAGTGATTTTCTCAAAACTCAAATTTATACCTTTACCTGTAGCTGTCACATGCATTCCATATTTATTATGTAAGCAACATTCTACTATTATTCTTTGTAAGAAATAAATTTTGTCATTAGAAAAAAATTAGTGTAATTTTATAATATGTGAGTAAATTCATAGCATAAACATGTTAAGAATAATTATGAATTCCTATAAAATTATCCTGTCCTCTTTTTTCTTCTAGATAACACATCACCAGTTTGTGTCTTCCCATTGCTCTTTTCTTACCTACATTGTTATTGGCTGTGCAGTATTCAACTATAAATATGTAGTTTTCATTACTATCTGCCTTGTTGCCATTTCTCCCTGAGCAGTCACCATATTCAATGCTATTCTCAATTCATCTCTTTCATGAATGTTTCCTTCATGATATTTGGTATTTCCTACAAGGACATACCAAAGAAAATTGACTCCCATCTTTCTCTATCTTCTCCTGATATGAGAAGAAAAGGGTCATAGGTAACACAACTTAAAAAAAATGCCTCTATTTGTAAAACTATAAACTGGAAAAATACAAGCAAGTCATTTATTCTGAAACAATGATCTTAAGATTATTCATAGGCAGATATAAAATGTGCTTTCTGTTAACGCAAAGTACTTGGAGCCATCCGTTTCCAAGATTAAATCTTAAAACTAAAATAATCCAATATAGAACATTTATAACCTAACTCAAACAGATTTTTGATCTATTTTCTTTGTAACGTTGTGATGATTTATAATGACTGTGACTTTTTGATAGGCTACAGTTTGTAATATGATAATATTCATTATCCTTCCCACAGGGAATAAAGAACTGTACTTAAAAATTGTTTTTTAAAAGTTTGAAAAAAATTCTAATCATTAACATGTCAGTTGTCTAAAATATAGTTTTAAAGTCAGTCAATATTACACAATAGTAATGAAGTCTGTCAGTTATTATCACAATTTCCTTTCCCTCTAGTAGAATATATATCTTGATAAGGATTAGTATTTAAAGTAATTGCTTAATGTCTACCAATTTGATGATTCAATGAAATTATTTTATTTTTAGTTTTTTTAAATATTATTTGCATATAATTGTTGACAAGGAGATACATTATGATATTTACATATGTGCTTATAATATATCTTAGTTACATTTACCCCCTCCATCATTCTCCTTCTTCCCCCTCTCCACTTGTTAAAACAATTTCAACAGGTATCATTCTTCTATTTTCATATATGAATACAAAATATATCCACAATATTGCCTCATTCTCCCTTTCTTTATGTCCTTCTCCCTCCCACTGGTGCCCAACCTTGGCAAAGGCCAATCTTAACCTCCTGGCCTTTATGTCTTTTAAGTATATATTAATAGTCCAAGGGGGTTTCACTTTGGTACTTCAGGCCTATGTATACCATGCTTTAACCAAATGAATGCCCCCATTAATTACTCATTTTCTATCATGATGATTCCCTACCATTTAACAGTTTACAGTGTGGTAACTTGTATTACATTTATATTTTCTTGGGTTGTTTCAATATTTTTCATTCTCTAACATTTTCTTTCCTTAAGTCTCATGTAGTAAGACTCATTAATGCAATTTTCCTCTCCCTCTCACTATATACATATTTATATATACATATATATACAGAGGCAGATGATCATATATGTAGTTATATATGCATTTTACTTATATGAAGGAAAACACGTAATTTTTTGACTCTTTGAGTCTGGCTTACTTATCTTAGCATGATGTTCTCCAGTTCCATCCACTTACCTGCAAAAAATATAATTCCATTTTTTTTAGACACTCTTTTTAATGGGCTTGGGCTCGGAGCTGTCGTTGGCCTAGGAGTTGCTGCACTTTTGCTCATCCTTGTAGTAACAGACGTCAGCTGCTTCTTTATTCGGCAATGTGGGCTATTGATGTGCATCACCAGGAGAGTGTGTGGGAAGAAAAGTGGCTCCAGTGGGAAAGGCAAAGAGCTGGAGGAGGGAAAAGCTGCATATCTGTGAGTATCAGGCATCTACATCATTTCATGTTAACTTTGCAACACAGTTTGTCTTGAGTGTTTTCTTTGGGGGCTTTGATTGCTGATCAAGGTCAAAAGTTTATAAGACTTGGAAATATTGCTGCCTGCACTTTACCTTAAATATATATAAAGTATTTTCAAACATGCAGAACAGTTCAATGACTTTCATAATAAACACTTATTTACTAATCATTTGTCTTCTACAATTAAGGTTTTATTGTATTTCCTATTTGCTCTATATATGAACAATCCATCCTTCATTTTAGTTTTTTTTTAAGTATTCATTCATTTATTTATTTTTGGTGATGCTGGAGCTTGAAATTGCTAGGCAGGTGTTCTAGCACATCAGCCAAGCTTCCGGCCCTTTATATTTCTTTCATCTTCTTGTTTTTCTTTCCATTCCTTTGCTTTTTTTTTTCTTATTTTTTGACTTTAGTTATTTTATGGACAGGGTCTCATGTTTTTGCCCAGGTTGGGGTCAGGGAGCATGGTTTCAGACCTCAGACCTTAACCCTTCTACCTAAGAACTGTGGAGTAACTGGGATTACAAGCATGAGCCACGACTCACAGCCCTGTCCTATTTCTTTTTAAATTAAAAAAAAAGCATATTTAACTCCCACATAATTCAACCTGCAAGTTATTCATATTTTATTTTTTCTTTAAAAAAAACTTCATAGAAGTGAATTGTTCAAAAGTTCTATTTGATGAGTTTTGACAAATATTTATATCCATAACTGAAAACATATCAAAACTCAGGAATTTACCATTCCCTGTCTATTTTTTTTGGTGGAACTGAGACTTCAGCTCAGGGCTTCAGGTTCAAAAGCAGGTGCTCTAATTTTTGAGTCACATCTATGGTCCATTTTGCTCTGGTTATTTTGGAAATGGGGTCTTGAACTATTTTACCTGAGCTGATCTTGATCCACAATCCTCCTTATCTAAGCCTCCCAAGTAGCTAGGATTACAAGTATGAGCCACTGGCACCTGGCTATTTACCAAAAATTCTTTTGTGTTTCTACAAAGTCAATTCCACGTTAAGGCCTTTGACCCCAGGAAACTACTCTTCTGTTTTTTTTACCAATGATAATTTTGTTTGATATAAAACTTCACTTGAAAGGTTACTTCAGTGTTCACTAATGTATATCTAGCATCTTTCACTCATAATAATGTTTTAAGATTTATTCTTTTTCATTTGTATCTTCTTAAAGGAATAGATCCTTTAGGAAGGATCTATTCCTGTGTTTTGTGGAGCAATTTCTATTGTTTTTTGTGAATACTTTATTTTGCCATTTTTAAAGTTCACAAGAATTTACAGGTTATTTCTCTGTCATGCATCTTTTCTTTTAAATTTTTTATTCATTTATTCATATGTGTATACATTGTTGGGGTATTTCTCCCCCTGCCCCCCTTCTGCTTGTCTCTCCCCACACCCTCCATCCCTATAACCAACCATTCCAGGTAGAACCTGTTCTGCCCTCTTCAATTTTGTTGAAGAGAAAATATAAGAAATAATAAGAAAGACATAGCATATTTGCTAGCTTAGCATAAAGATGAGTATACAGAGAGATTCCATGCATTGCTTCCATGCACATGTATATTATAGCCCAAATTGCTTCATCTCTTCCCAGTCACCTTCCCATAGTGGCCTCTGCCAGTTTAAGATTACTTTATTCTCTCCTCTACAGTGGGCATATCAAACACTTTCAAGTTTCCTTAGCCATGTCAGGAATCATAGCATTTCATGACCTCAGTTTTCTCTGCCTAAAAATGTAATTTGGTTCTTTTATATCATTTAAAACCTAGATTTTATTCAACATAATTTTAATAAAAAATGATTTAATTTGTAAAATTTTGCTGGTAAACTATGCACCAGAATGTGTGAAAATATATATATTTTTCACTTTTCCCCTAATTTTTTTATATCTAATTCTTATGGAAGTATTAAGTTTAGTTATGGTAATTGTAACAGTTTACTGAGAATTTAGAACCTGAGTGTACTCATGTGTAAGGATCCTATCAAGAGAAAGAACACTGGCATTTAAGTGTCCTATGCATTCCAAAATGAGCACCAGATTAAGCACTCTTGACAACTGACTTCTAGCAACCATAGGTCACCTTTACCTGCTTTGTATATTATGGAAATCCATGCATCCTTGACTCATCTTTGTCTAATTTCTTTACTATATATCTTGTGTATAAATATAAATGTTTATTTAATCTTGGTATAATAGTCCATTATGTAAATATACTAACATTTCTTTCCTAATTCAATTTTTATGAGTATTTTGGGAGTATACAATTTGAAGCTGTTCATGATTGTGTTTTGATGAGCAATAAAGCACATAGATTCTGTTTTGCATTTATGGAAGTGTGGTATTGCTAGGATATAGAGTGTTCATACTTTTTATATATGCCTTTAAACGGGGCAGCAAAGTGCCTGCATCAGCTTGAAATACTTCGCAGTTAAGGGTTTTGATTAATCTATACATTAAGAGCATTTTCCATATATTTATTGCTATTAATAAGTTGGGTATGTAGTGGGAGCCCACATGTATTTAGTAATTGATAATATATAAACACTAGTAAAGTTGAGTATCTTCTCATAATTTTTGCTCTATTATTTAAGTCCTTTGTCAAGTATATCAGTGATTTCCTCTTAGGTTGTCCTTCTTTCCTAATGAATGTAAGGAGTTCTTTATAGTATATGTTTTTGATACAAGGTCCTAAGTATATGTATATATGTCTATGTATTATATATAAACTGTAAATATGTTATAAATATATTTATATATTGTGCATTATATATTATAGTATTTATATTTACAAATATTTTATATATTAAATATCATGCTAAATTTTAACTATCAAAATGTTATCTTTGGTGAAAAGAGTGTTCAGTTTTAACATAGTATAAAATTTTGATATCCTCATTCTTGTCCTATTCAAAAAAATCTTTGACTATGCTAACTTCCTAAGGCATTGCTCTCTATTTTGCACTAAAGTCATTACATGATTATGTTGTACAGTTAAGCCTATAGTACACTAGAAGTAGCTCCAGATGCTTTGTAGTTAGTTTTTAATTATATTTGGATAATAGTCTAATAATTGAAAATTACATACTTGCTCATCAACAGCAGTGTCAATTTTGTCGTATCTCAGATGGCAAAGTAGAATTGTGTCTGTTTTTGTGTGTGCTATTCTGTTGCTTATTTAAACATTTTATACTGTGACCAATAGCAGACTTTATTAATCTGTAAAAACTTTGAAATTGTTCTTGCTAACTGAAACTCTTATACACTCTGTCTTTGCTCATCTTTGAGATTGCTTTGCTATTATTTTGTCTTGAATCCATTTAAACCTATTTATAATTTACACACACATATGAATAGATTATTTGGGCTAGAATCAACACATTTGTAATCTAAAGTATTTTAAGTGACAAATCTATGATTTTGTGTATAGTTTTAAAAGAATCCAGATTTCTTATATAGTGAAATTAAAAAAGCAATTTAGTATTCATATGCAGACCTTATATACTGTTTGATACCTACAAATGGCTGGTGACTTGCACAAATCTGAAAACTTCCTGTGGATGACAGTCCCACAGGGCAGACCCTTGACTTGGGCAGCAATTATGTTTAGGAACCTACATATCTTTAGAACATACATAAAATATTTTTCACATTCTTTAAATTTTAAACAAAATTATTTCTAACCACAGCAAGTTGACTGATGCCAGAGATGTTTTTTGCTAATGTAACATTTCTAAGTTTGAAAAGATAATGACTTTTTAATTTTTTTAAATCTATGAGCCTACTTTAATCCTATTAGAATATTTGCCTATGACAATTTCTCTTGAGTACATTGTCAGGGAATTTTCACTTGAAGAGGTTGCAAATCAGGTAGCATAAATTTGTAGTTTACAAATTAGTTTAAATTGTTCCCAAACAAATTATCACCCATTTCCTTTTTGGACAGAAAATGTAAAGAAACAGAAATTAGGTTCCACTGCAAGCTGAAGTGAAATATTAATGAGAGATGTGGTAAATGCAGTGGGATATATCTACTACCCAATGTCTCTTCCTTTCTTCATAATAACACATTCTGCCTAACAACATTCTTTGCCACCTTTTCTTATTAATTGAATAAATAGACCAACAAGTTGTTATTAGCTTTTTGTAAAAGTAGAGAGACATAATAAAATTAATTGAAAAACAATGCTATATCTATGACTGCACATTATATATGTGTAATTGCATACATATATAATAAATATATAATATAAATGTATGTATAGATTATATAATTTGTATTACATATGTCACTTTGTACACGTCTAAAGATAGAATTTTATGTAATTTCATTCTTGCTCACCAAGTCAGCAAGTAGCTCTGAAATAAACAACAGGTGATAAGTACTATTATAAGATCTGGAAATAAGTTAGGGATCAAAAGAAAGAACAATGTTTATCTAAAGACCAAACACTAAGTCTTCTTACTTCAAAGGAATTTGAATTTTATTTGAAATAGAAAGCTACTAGAGTTGAGCACAATGACTCACATATGTAATCCCAGCTACTCAGGTGGGAGAGATGGGATCTCTATTTCAGGCTAGTCTTGGCAAAAACTTGGAAAGACCTTATTTGGACAAGAAAGCTGGGCCTGGAGGCTTCATGTCTATAATCCCAGCTACTCAGGAGGTATCAGTAGGAGAAGTGAGGAATGAGTTTAGCACCAGACAAAAATGTGAGACCCTATCTGAAAAAGAACTAAATCAAAAAATGTCCAGGTTAATGGCTTTAGTACATGCCTGCCTGACAAGAACAAGGCCCTTAGTTCAAACCTTTCTACTGCCAGACAAAATTAAGAGCTAATAGTAAGAACAGGAAGATTTCTATGTCAGCAAATGCCCAACCATTACTTTATAGCAATATAACATAGCACAATTCCAAGCCCTGGGACTGAAACTGTGAGGGAAAAAGATACTCAGTCTCTAAAAACTTTCCTTCTGTCAGGAAATGAATTTCAATTTAAAATGTGAAGGAATAAATAATTTCTTATAAATGATATATGAAAAATTACCCAACCAGGTTTATCTGAGCAGTTCATAAAATAAGTTAAGTATGAATGAGGAATACAAGTTAGCTAGCTGAAATGGACTTGTCCTAAGATGTGTGTTCAGGAATACATTTGAGAGATGGATTTTTAGACAGAGAATATAGACTATCTAAAAGTCTTTATTAGTTGTATGAGAAAGCATCACTTGATCCAAAGATTGAATAAATATGTATGATATCAAAACTGTATTTTCTTGATAGCAATCATAGAAAAAATAAGACTTCCACTTTCCAGCCCTGCATATAAGAAGCTTGCAAGTTGTCACTCCTTCCTACTACGTAGAGTTAAACAAAATGCCAAGTCAACAACTAGTCTTAGGTCAGCAGAAAAATGAAGTTGCAGTGAAAACTATTGCCTCCAAAATTAAAACGCCAGGCAGGTAGATACAGAGAACTACATCTTATGAGAATAGATATCTAAAAGTAGAAACCTCTGTGGGAATCATTTCTTGGTTAAGAAAACTTCAAATATGATTGACAAATTGCTGGAGTCTTGGTATGGACAAGTAAGAAAGACAAAAATTCCAGAGAAGAACCAGTTATAGGCAGATGCCATAATTTTGATGTTTACCTCCAGGACTTTATCCTCCTTCTCACAGTGAATATTTTGGGACCATCCCCTGTTTATGGGAATAAGGATAATATAAAGGTTTTGAAATAGATCTGAAATTCTCTTTGTACCATTGTCTACTACTTAATTGGAGCCTAATCTGTTTGGGTGATAAAAGAGCCTAATGACCTGACAGAAGGTAAACAGATAATTCCACCCAAATCTAGCTTTTCAAACTGGAGGAAGGAAGTATTCAACCCCAGCCCACTTACCACCCTGCCCACAAAGATGGGGTGAGGGCCTGATAAGCACCATCCAGAAGCACAAACTCACTAATTGCATGTGATGTAATCATTACACTTTAAAATCTCATTCCAGTCTTTTTAATATTAAAGGTTAATTTGTAGCAGTTACATTTACCTATTACTTCATGCCTCTAGCAAGATAAAATTACAAAGCATTTTAAAAGGAAAAAGACATAGGCACAGACACAGGAAGCATCAGAACTAGATTGAAACATATTAGAGATGTTAGTTATCAGTCTGGAAATGTAAAACAGTTAGGATTAAGATGCTAAGAATTCTAATTGATAATGTAGATAACAAACAACAAGAGACTGACAATGTAAGCAGAGAAACTGATCTAAGACAGAATCAAAAAAGAAGAACTACAGGTCAAAAATGTAGTAACAAAATGAAGAATGCCTTCAATAGGCTTATTAGTAGACTGGACACAGCTGAAGAAATTCATATCTTTGACTCTGAGATTATCTCAAAGGATAAATCTAAAATTCTGAGCTCTGTAAAAGTATCCTTTCAAAACACTTTGTCACACCAAACAAACATATAAGGAATTTCTTGCCAGTACACCTGCTTTATAAAAAACATTAAAAACAGTTCTTTAGAAAGAGGGAAAAATGACATACATCAGAAACTCAATCCATATAAAGAAGAAGGAGCACCAGAGAAGAAATAAGTGAAGATAAAGTTTTTCTTTTTCTTAATTGAGCTAAATGATAAAAGTTGGTTAACAATATTGGAACAGTGTATTTTATTGCATACATACTTAGGTGAATTAGGTAAGAGTCATGACAATGATGCAGAGGAGGGATAGGAGGAATTAGTAATAACTTGATATTATAAAGTATTTCCACTATCAATGAACCAGTACAGTGTCCACTAGGCATTAAATTGTATTAGGTGTAAATGTATATTGCAAACTCTAGAGCAAATATTGAAAAAGAAATCTAAAAAGAAAAAGTACAACTGTTATGCTGAAATAGGAAGGAATACAGAATGATATTAAATGACCAATTAAAACATAAAAAGGAACTGCATGGTTCAAGACCAACCTGGACTAAAAGTTCATGCAACCCCATCTAAACCACTGGCAGGGTGCAGTGGAATGTTATCAGTCATCCCAGCTCCATGGAGAAACACAACAGGAGGATTGTGATCCAGGCTAGCTTAGGGATAAAGTAAAACCCTATATCAAAATTAACCAACAGACAAAGGGTTAGGGGCATGGCTCAAGGAGTATGGCTCATCTGCCTAGTAACAACAAAACCCTGAGTTCAACCATCAGTACTGCCAAAACAAAATCCCAAAAGATAAAAATTGTAAGACACAAAAATTGTAAAAGATAAAAGTAGCCATAAGGAAAGAACAAAGACAACACATATAAATCAGTTTAACTATAATAGATGTTATCATAGTAGACATAAATCAAGACCCAAATACTGTCATGCACTATATAATGACATTTCAGACAATGACAGAAATGATAGTCACATAAAATTATAATAGACTTGAAAATTTGAACCCCTTAGTGACTTCATAGCACAAGATATTACACACATTTGTGTTGATGTTGGTGTAAACACACCACAGAAAATAATGTTTATTATATAATAATTGATGATACTAGCATATGATTATATTACTCATTCACATATTAATTATAAAGTTACCATTATTGATAAGTATGCTCATATTCATAACAACAAAACTTCCTGTGAGACAGTGTCTTGTGTTGCATTGGCAGCCGCCTCATACATCTCGTGTTCACTGCACTTCTTCAGTGCACCAAGAGGCTACCTTGAATGATTAACTTAGTCTATGTAGGTTTGTATAAATATTCTTTTTGAGGTTCAACCAGTGACAAAATCCCCTCACAATGCTTTTCGTAAACTGTATCTACATTATTAAGTGATATGTGAGTATATGGTTGTCTATAAGTAACTTTATTTATAAAGCACATAAGTCAAATTTAAATAGATAGAGAAAATATACATGCTAGCAGTAATCAAAGAATTTTGAATTAGGAATATTCACTTTGGACAGAAATGACTTCATAGCAACACTCTTCTCAAGCTCAAGTAAAAGATTTACTAAGACAGGTCACATCCTGGATCATAAGACAAAACTCATGAAATTCAAAAATATGAATCACACAGCATTTGCTCTAAGTGCACAGTAGAATTAATGAGAAATGAAAGATTGTTAGAAATATCCAAAATTCTTAGAAACTCAATGAATTTTTAAATAAGACATGTATTGGAGAAGGAATCTCAAGAGAAATTTAAAAAAATATTTGAGCAAAGTGGAAATATAGCACAAGATTGTGGAGTAGAGTAAAAGCAGTGAATATGGGGAAACTTATGAATTGAAAGCAAATATTATAAAATAAAGACTATCAAAATGAATTGCCTAAATTTCTACCTCAGAAAAGGAAAAAGAGGTAGAACAAATTAAAGGCAAAGAAGCAGAAGAAAATGAGTAATGCATGTTTTAGCACAAATGAATAAATAAATGGAAAAACAAGAAATCAGTAGAGAAAAATCAATGAAACTATAAGCTAATCAATAAAAAATTAATAAAATGTTTAAGCTGCTACCTAGGCTAATTCACTAACTCATACCAAAAGAAATATAGAGAATGGAGAGAGACAGGACGAGAGAGATAGGCAGAGAGAGAGAGAGAGAGAGAGAGAGAGAGAGAGAGAGAGAGAACATGGAATAGTTATTCAAAACAGAATAAGATAATGAAGTAATATTATGAATAAATCTATCCCCCAGAATTTGGTAATCGAAGTAAAACAGATAAATTCCTTGAAACACCCATCTGCTAAAATTAATACAGAAGCAAATAGATAATCTGAACAATTCCATGCCCAGTAAACAAATAAACATAAAATACTATGCCTAGACGAGTTATGATGAATTCTAAGAACCATATAAGATATTATATCAGTTCTCAACAATTTTCTTCAGAAGACAGAAGCAAATTAAATGCTTCCTAACTCATTCTCTAAGGCCAGCATTACCCTTATACCAAAACCACACAATGATACTGATAAAAACAGTGAACACGCAGATATATGCAGAACAAAACAAAACTAAAGTCCAGTGTCATGGGTTCTTCAGCCATCCTTACTGCTATATAGATGAAGCTTATTTGGAGCCCTTGGTCAGAGATTATTGCTAACTGTCTAATTGTTGCTCTCAGCTATCCGATTTTTAAAGGTTAAACAAGGTTCTTCGTTACTGACATCTACATTTTAGATATATGTTTGTACAATATATTAACATAAATCAACAATATATATTTGAAAAATAATACAATTTTATTACCATAATATACCTTGGTGAAATTAGTTTCTTTCTTTCAATTCTAAGTAAAATATATACCAAAATTTACTTAAATGGAAAAAATCTTACTGAACTTGATAGATTGGAAGTTTGGCTGGATTAAGTTAGAGTATAAACTGTGTCCTACAATGCATGTATTTTTATATTATTAGGGTAAAATGTTTCTCTTTGTTTTTCTAGGAAAGATGGATCAAAAGAGCCAATAGTGGAGATGAGAACAGAGGATGAAAGAATTACAAATCATGAAGATGGTAGCCCTGTAAACGAACCAAATGAAACCACGCCACTTACAGAACCTGAGTATGTAGCTCAAAGGGTTTACTTGTTTTGGAATAGAACTGATAAAGTGATAAAGCATTTGCACTATTTACTATTAATTTCTGTTGTTTCTTTCTAGTAAGCATTCATGTGAATATCAAAGCACATTTTCAAATTGAGATATTTCGTATGAAAATTTTGTATTAATGTCAGAAACCTTTACAAGGTTTATGAAATATATTATATTTACAAGTTTATGAAATTATGTCAAAATATAGAGGTATAGTACAGAGCTGGAGTATGTAACACTAATCTCACTCTAGGAAACTGATACTTTTAAATATGCTTTTTAAAATATTTTTGAACTAAATATACGTCAGGAAATTAGTCATTGCCTTGAATAAAAATACAATAGTATCACTATACAAATACTTTAAAAAATATTTGTAAAGGAAGAAATAATGTTAAATTGCCTGTCATTTTAATGTTTATGTAGCAAATGATTCTTGGTCTCCATTTACACTTGTAATATCATTTATGTTAGCATTTCTCATAGCTACACTGAAGCTGTAGCAGATATTTAACTAAAACTGCAGTGGTAAACCTGTTCTCCAAACCAGAGGCATTAGTAAAAAGTAATAATAATATTCTTTCAAATTTATTTGATACTACCAAACCATGTGATCATACTCTTTGTTAGTGCTCACCAAAGTTATTTTTTTAAACTTTCATTGTTTTCAAAATAAATATCTCTTATCAACTAACATTACTTTAAGATTAACCTAATTCAGATTTGTTATGAGTAGTCATAGGCTAAGAGTTGTCACAGCTGTAGAAAATTGTTTCCTTCTTTCCACAGATCCCCTCTGTATGCTACCAACAGGTTTAAATAACTAATATGTAGAAAAACAGTTATATTGGTGTGCATGGAAACTAAGAAATGGCTTTGCATATAATTTTATTATGATTTAAAAACTAATCTAGGCCTTGATTATAGAAATATTCAAGATAAAAGTAATAGAATAAATAGTAACTTTAAAATTTATTTAGTATAAATGCAAGTGGTAAAATCATGTGTACAGAAGTATACCATCAAAGAACTAATCAAAAATATTGTTTCAATAAAATCTCAATACACAGTGCTATGAAAATTGTACTTAGCATTGCTTTAACTTTCATCAGCTCTCTAATGTTCTCTCTACATAAATAAATGACATATTGGAATCATAATTTTTTCTTCTCCATGTTTTAAACACTTTTAAAGGTGATTAAAAAAAGAACTGTGAATATACTCCAACATAAACACAAACACTTGTCTTGACGGGAATAAAGTAGATACAAGTTGATTCCCAACAATGGATAGCATTACTGTTGTCTATCTCTTACTTTTCATTGGCTAGTTTGTACCTCATAGCTTGGATCGTCATATCCAAATGTTTATTCTTCCTATTAAAAATATAAATAAATTATAAGCAAATCCCATGGAACTAGCATGGTAACATTCACTTCTTTGTAAAATGATGAGATTAAAGATAAAGCTCTATTCATAATTTAATTTTCTTGAGTGGAAATTTTACTTCTAAAAGTGACATACAAGATGCAATGGTAGAATGGTGTGAAAATAAAGCAATAAAGAAAAAGAAAAACCCAGGAAATCATGATTCCATGGCATCATAGTAAAGATTTATGGATCTAAATACTGATAAAGTTTGATTTTTGCCTCAAAGGTTAAATTTAGAAACAACTTGTGAAAACTGCTCAAAAGTGACAAGAACAAATAGTAGTGTAGAGACCAAGAAAACATAGAGTAAATATTGAAAAAGAAAGTCCAAAAATAAATTCATTCACATTAAATTCCAAAGAATATTGCTAGTATACCCATTTTTGAATTTTACATAACATTCATGCCAGTGATAATTGTTTTTACTTGAAAAGTTTGAGAATACATCATATGATTGACACATAAAAATGTTTTTGACTTTTCACATTCCAAAACATTCAAATATGTTTTAATATCAACTAGTTATAAATCAAAGCTACCACACAATGAATAATTTGATTCATTTAAATGCACACATTCTTTGTTTCATACCCCTATTGACATTACATTACATTTTTGTAACAGAACGTGTTAATTGTTTTAATACTGTAAGCTTATTTTACTATCAATTTGATAGTATTTTATAAAGTTTTATTTTTTCTATCTAATAATTTTAGCATTTTTTCCTCCACAAAATGTAACTTAGATGTTAAGGTATATTTCTTAAATTTTTTAGCAAATGGAGTTTATCATTTTTCTATTTTCTTCCAGAAAATTGCCTTTGAAAGAAGAAAATGGGAAAGAAGCGCTAAATCCAGAAACAATAGAAATTAAAGTTTCTAGTGACATCATCCAATCAAAAGAAGATGACAGTAAAGCATAACAACAATGTTACAGTGGCTTGGTCAACATTACAAAGAGCATTTGGATTGCAGTGAACCTATGACCAAAACTATTCCATTGACCTTAATTTCTTGGGAAACTTCTAGCTTGGAACAGCTTGTACACATATACATATGATCAAATACTCCTGACCATGGTCCATTTCCTTTTGTTATTGTTGTGCTTGTTCATTTTGTTAAGATTTTTAGTATAAAGATTTGTTTAGCACCAACTCTTGGGTATTGATTTGATTCTATGATTAAAATACTGCAATTTATTATATGACTAAAGTGCTCTATTTCTTAAGATCTCTGCCTCACATGCCACAAACAAATATGTTTCAAACTTTCTATCAAATGAAAGCATAACAAAAAACAAAACAAAATAAACACTTTGCAAGCTAACTGTGCAAGAAAGCCCTGCATGTTTATGAATCTTATCTTGGAGAAATACATTATTAAAGAGGCTTTCAACTTAAAATGAAGGCACATAATAAAGGCTATACTTTTTACCAGGAGAACTTCAGGGAACCCAGGCTTCAAAGAGCCAATTATCTTTCACAGATATTTAAAAAATGAGGAAATGTTGGAAAACTGTTTTCAACTCATGATTATTGTGCACTTTCCACATTGTTTTTGGTATACTTATACCAGCTCAAAACTATTAGTCATTTGAAAAAAGATTACTTCTGTGCAAAACTAGATTAGAAAAACTTCCTAAATCTCTCTCATTATATATACACCATAGTTGCTTATTAAGGATTACACAAAAAGTAAGTCTATTACAAGTAAAAATAATATTGATTTTTGCCCTCAGCTTCAAACAAAGTAAATTGAAATGCGAACAATATCAATATCTTGTCCTCATATATTTATAAATACGTGTTTACCTTTTAATTTTATATAATTTGCCCAAAATAATGTTTTTACTCTTCAAATACTTCAAATTATATTCTCAGACACATTTTAGTGCATAATTTTAGATAAACTTCAAGAACTAAGTTTCTTAATATTATAGGTCCCTCACTAAATAAAACTGGCTAATGAAAATTAAAGGCATAAGTGTAGTTAAATCAAAGATAAACTATCTGAGTTTTAAATGTGCCATAAAAGTTTCAATTTCAGAAAATTGAATTGTCACTAATTATTTTTATTCTGAAGGTTGTAGCTAGAACCCATTTTAGGATTTTGATAGACAGCTATGGTTGAAGAAATTCCTTAGCATAAACTTTCGAATATCACTTGTTGGGGACTATACATGAAAAAATACTTATTAACTTCCAAGCTATGCAAGCTCCCAGAGATAAAAGTCTGAAATATGATTAAAGTTATATATAAGAAAAATGTGTTTTTCACTATAAATACGCATACATATTGGGAGCAGGTTTTAGATTATTTGTTAACCTAGCGAGCCAAAGTTTCCTTTGGACCCCATCACATTCATAATCTTTAGTGTTTCAGACGTTGAAGAGTTCAAATATTGATTGACTGGTGAACACATTCCAATAGAACCTTGGAGGTGTTTTTAACAGTGGAGTGAGACCTGCTTTAAGTGTCTCTTGTAGGTATAATTTGATGACAAATACGATATTAATGTCACTCATAAACACTTTTATTTACAAAGTGCTTATAACTGTCAGTGGAGGGGAGTACAGTAAGTCACTTTGTACTATCAATTGTTGACTCTAGAAGAATAGAATATGCCTATCTGCATGTTGAAATCCCACATCTTCATAGTGTCATTTTATAAACTGAAGGTTTACAATGCAAGAACCTCTCCTTGCTACCCATTGTGGCATATTCTGAAGAAAAAGGACAGAATTTTTGTACCTGTTTGAGAATTTGAGCAGTGTCTAAAAAGCAAACCAGTAAGGTTCTTCTGACTAACTTGATTATCCAGTAGGTTTTTAACAGGTTTGACTGCTGGTGTTTAGTTTATAGTTTGTCTGATAATATGATTTATTTTTGCTGTCTATTTTTTGTACCAATGTGATAAAACTAGTCAAAATACTTGAATTAGTTTGTGCAAAGTGAACAAGCTTTGTAAAGTGTCTATGAAGCAATAGCCATGAGTGCTCATTTTTCCTGGATAGATACAAATGGTTTTAAACTAATGATATTGACTTAATTCAGATGACAGAATAGCATGTTTACTATTGTTTTATTTGTGCTACACTGCAAGAACAGAGAAATCAGAGTAACGAACAGAATGTTTTTGTATTTTCTCAATTTGAAAGTTCTGTTTTTTCAATTCTTTGAATTATCCATGACATGATATTTCTTCATACATATATATATATATATGCTATTAGTTTCTTGTCACTCATATGCAGCAATTATATGAAATTAATAGATAATTGGGAATAATAAGAGCAACTGTTCAAGTGCACTGTTTCAGTTGTCTGAGGGAACCATAGTCTTCTCCCTCTGATCTGTACCCATGCTGTAGCAAGGCATGACTGTGATAAGACTTTTTTAAACATTTCAACGGAATGCTCCAAACACACATTTTTAAAAGTTTTCAAATAAGAATTGGCTTGTAGTAAATTGCAAACTATCAATAGTACTGAAATAACTTCATTCATATTTTTCATTCTTGTTCTAAACTATATACATTCATATAAATGTATAAATGTTAATTTTATTGTCTGACAGTCCTTTTAAGTGTTAGTAAAAAAAAGTCAAGATCTAACTGAATGTAAGTGCTGTCAATATGTGAAACTATGCTATTTTAAACCAAGAGGCAAAGATATCCCCTAAAATTTTGAGATTTCTTAATAGGCTATGTGCAATCAAATAATGACAATCTATATTCAACAACCTATAAAAGAACAAAGTAATATCAGATTTTAAATCCATAGTTTTAAAAACTGACACAAATTGATGTGTCAACCTATTTTTCAATGATTTATAAAGAAATTTAAGTATGAAATGTAATTTCTTCAAATTTATTTATTGTTTTTGCAGGTAAAAATATTCACATTTAATTAAAACTACTGTCTCACACTAATGTAATATTTCTTAATTTTACTTTATTTTTAATACAAGACAATTTTTCAAAGTCTATTTGATTCAGATTTCATATGAATCTTATCCCTGAAATAAATATTTATACAAATAGAAAGTTGTTATCAAATTGTGAGTGCTAACAATTCTAACATGGTAATCATATCTTTATTTAATGCATTTTATTTTAAATAAGAGTGATTTGTCCCTTTGAATTAGCATGTTATTCGGCTTCATTAAGAGTAAAAAACTACAACTTTCTTTGATATATTTAGCTGATACCATGGCACTCAAAATATATTGTCTTCTTTGTGTTTGGTGAATAAGCTCAATTAAAACTACTTTACCTTGAATATAAAACCCCAAATATAGCACATTATCTTGTGTGATTTATTTTTGTAGGAAAAAAATATTTTTTCTGCATGCATGGGATATTTTAATTTGTTCTGGATTGTTTTTCTAAACAATATCTACATTCTAGATATTGTTTAAACTTAGTTGTTAGACAATTGTAAGACCAAGACAGCAGACTTGAATCTTCATTATAATTGCTGGTAAATATTTGATTTGGGACCATAATCATCCTTGTGATGATAAGATAATCACTGATGAAACTATGTACAACTGAAAGGGTAAAAAGAGTAGTCTACATTTCTTAATTTAAGAAATATTGGCATAGAATATTTTAATTATTTATGAAATTAGAAATGTTCTTTTTCATGAAGAATAATGTAAGTGTTCAATTTGAATTCCTCATGGAGTTCCTTTTCATAATCATATCAAGAATGCTTATTCAACAAACTTTATCAGTGGGTGAAACTATTTTTTAAATAAGATAGCATTATTTATCTCTTAAGGAAAAAGATTCTCATCTTATTAGCCATGTGGGGCATTCTTATGTCATCTCTCAACTTGAAATTGCATATGGATATTTTAACATATGCTAAAATTAAATTGTAGATCAAAGAAATGAAACATTCTACTTGTAAAATGGAAGTCTTTCCAGAAATGGTCTACACATGGACTTCATCATGTTTGTAATTGAGAAAGTTATAAAATAGCCTACACATAGTAGTTGCTGATTAGATATAATTTTTTCAGGTTCCACCCTTGCTTTTTAAAAATTGCATTTACCCATGTAGATGCATCTATTGAAACAACATTAAACAAGAATACTATTAGATTAATAATCTCCCCTCAAATAAAAATCAGACACTTTTAAAAATATGCAATGGTAAATATTTATTTGATAAAAGATTTAATATTATTAGAAAAGTAGTTTATTATTCATTGTAGGATTTTACCAATAATTTAAAGCAATCAGTATCACCACTTAAAGTTTCTTTTTTTTTTTTTAAAGACTTTTCAGGTTTCCGGCCACACAATCTTTTAAATATCATTATAAAAATTGCCCAAGTCAATTTCAGTATTGCAAATTAATTTTCCCTGAAAAATACATATCTTTTAGCATTTAGATTTAGATTTTTATGGAAGCAGAAAAGCAAAACAATCAATGTTGGAGCATTTCAATCACAACCAGACAGGAGAGTAGAGGAACAGGAAACGAAAGGATTCTGAATAAGTGAGAAGTGCTGAACCTGGGAGCAGGAACATTGCTTAAATGAAAATTTACACCAATAATACTGATGCAAAAGAAAAACCCAATCAAATCCAGAAAAGAAAGTTCACAGAGCTGGAACCTGTGACTCTATTTGCAAATAGTGTTTTGTCTTGTTTTTTAAGAAAACCGTATGATACTATAAAATGAGCGATGCAATTAAAAGAAAATATAGTTCCTCCAACTCCTTGAAAAATGTTTATGGTTTAGCATTTGTCTCTAACCCCTGCTAGAAATAGACCAACTTCTCAGAAATAAAAGTTAATTGTTTTGATATGTGAATCTAAACTGTCTTCAAAAAGCATTAAAACATACATTTAAAAATTTTTCCTTTAAATTATGTATTCCATTCAAATTCTCTATTAAGTTAGCGACCATGTTTCTTTCAATATAGTATGCCCCTATGAAATGCTGTATATATATATATGTCTAAACTGTAAAAATTATACTGCAAATGTTGACGTTTTGTATTTATGAGAGACATTGAAAGTATGGCTTATGGTATATCAAAATTGTCATTCTTCACCATTTGTATATTAATAGTAAAGATAATTTTACTTTAATAAAGTGCTGAATTTTGTTTATTTCCAATAATATCTTGGCAATGAGTGAGCTTATGATTGGATAACCACTTTTAGTTCTAAGAAAATTTACAAGCGTATCTCTACATTTTCAAATAGAAAAAGGTTTTCGCTAACTTGCATATCCTGGGTT